ATGGTTAAACTATTTTAATAAAATAAAGCTTTTCGTGACAATGAGACACATCTGCTTCTGGCAGCTCTGATTTCCTTCAAAATAGGATGACAGGCATCGAAGAGCCTCCATATGGAGTTTGCTTTCACTGTGGCAAAGCTAGCTATTTGGGCAAGAAGCAGCCCTGGCTGCCTCAACTGCTGACAGCATGCTGTCCAAATGGGACGAGTAGGACACAAAAGAAGGTGACTGCCAAACTTTGCCAAGACAAGGTAGGACAGTCCTTCAAATTTTCCTGCTTCACAAACAATTCTATCAGATATGCTAGGAGGCCTGTAGACTCAAAATGGATACCTCAACATGGTCCAGGAAACTTGGGGTCACTGACCAGAGAGCAAGATGTCTTTGTCACTTCTATAGCTTTGGAAGTTTCAGGCTCTGTACTTCTGTTCACTCAAGTAATATTATATCCTTCTGGGGTCTCTGATGTGGTTGAAGATTAGATAGTTATAGTTACAGTTTTCCTTAGTTACGATAGAAAGTAAATTAGATACAAAACTTTGGATTCACCAAGATAGGATAGATAAGAGAGTATTTTCTCTGCATTTGTCAAATACTAATGTACTGGACATTGTGAGTGTATTTTTTACTTGATAATTGTTCTTATTGTATATAGTTTCATTTTGTTAATGCTAGTACCTTTTATTCTTATTATATATAGTTTTACTATGCTAGAGTTAAAACCTTTCCTTTTTTCTTAGAAAAAAAGGAAGGGGAATGTTGTAGAAGATTTGTTTTGTGTTTTCACTCCAAGACCACCCATGGAATGAACCACAGAGTTTTCTGGCTGACTCAGGGGAGATAGAAGGGCACAGAGAATAAGGAGGGGCTAAAAAGATGCATGGACTTTTGGATCAGAAAGGTGGAGAGAAGGATTAAGTATCTTTGCTTTGTCATTCTGTGGATCAATCAGATTTTATCCCTAATATCTGACTCACAAGCTTATTGGATAATAAACATTAAAAGAAGCTCCAGCAGCCTACTATGTGTCAGGCATTGATATATGGTGAGTCTACTTCCATTCCTGCTGCTTTTTAAATTTTGAAATATTTATGTCTTAAAGATGTTTCTGTTTTGCAAAGTAAAAGGATCCTCTTTTCCTGGCTAGATGGTGAGCGTCTGGGAAGAAAGAGGGAAGCAGAGTCCCTCTTTTGATGTCTTCCTGTGTCACAGACAGGGCCCGTGAAAGGTAAGAAGATCCAACTAGCCATCCAAGATCGCTTAGCTTGTCAAGAATGCAGCCAGAAACCTCACTAGAGAAGCCTGGCTGCAAAGTTGTCTAGCTGCCATTTCATGAGCCTGTTTTGTGTGTGCCAGAGCTGGTAGCTCATGCTTCCATGACTGTGCCAGAGAGCTGAGCTCAGAGCTGGCCTCCATCAGGCCCTCCAGAGTACTTAGGACTTGATGTAAATGGATGCGGATGGTTTGGCTGATCCAAGGCAATTAACCTGACAGCACCTCTTCCCTGCCATCTGGACAGATGACGGCTCTTTGGGAGAAGCCTACAGACCTGCATGTGATGAATCACCCTCAGCTCTCCAGCTCATCGAGATAAAAGCTGCAAGTTTAGCCTTGAGTACACGCTTTGTTGATTTCTGTCAGAACAAGCCACAGAATTTAACGTACTGGGGTAGCATTCTGTCAACTTGTAGGTATTTGTGATGACATGCAGCAAGGGGTGGCATCTGCCAACCCCACCGAATTTCCTCTGAACCAAGAATGTCGGCATCCTTCTCCAGCGAAAGGATGGGTAGGTCCACCTCCAGCAGCTGTCTGTGGGATGCTGCACACCGAGAGAGCCCTGTGCAGGCTGACAGGAGTATAAAGAGCATGACAGGACCAGGGCCTTCTCATGGGGTCAAAGGTAACTCTCCTGCCTCTTAAATCTTAAAAAGTATTTCTGTATGGGCTAGAAATGGAACCCAAGCTGCTAACATGCTAAACAAGCACACTACCACTGAGCTCCACCTCCAGTCCTCTGCCTTGCTAAACAAACAAACAAAAAGACAGGCAAACAAAAGCCAAGCATTAAAACAATGTGCTCCTTCGGTGGTGGCAACGATTACAAAAATAGGTCTTTTGTATTTTTCTGCTTTTACAAGATATGTATTCCTTGTCACCTGAAAGAGAAATGACATTTTAAAAAAATCCACAGATCTCACATCTGAAAGTTGAAAGAGCAGCATGGATTTAACAGCATTGTCCCAAAGCCAGCAGAGCTGGCAATTAGGCCCAATTCTGCTAGTCACTTTGTTTTGAAGACATAAATTTCTTTTGCTCAAGGCCCTCGGGAGGATAAATTCAAAGGTGTCTGCTTGGCCTGCGAGACTGACATGGGCATGGTGCTGCCTGCATGCGTTTGTATAATCGCCCCCAAAGCAAACCCTAAGACACAGATTTGGTCACAAATAGAGCAGGATCTCTTGACGAAAATGATTCTGGAGAATGGACAGCAACAGGCATCCCATGAGAAATGTGGCAGAGGAGGGACAATAAAGGTGGCTTAGGGGCCAGTGGCCACCATGGGACACTTGGCTTCAGCCGTCCCTGGTCCCTCTGAGAGACTACGTAACATACCCTGGAATCATCTGCCTAAGGGTAGGGGGGCTGTGGGGTGTCCACTGGCTTTCTTGCTCATCACCCCCCACCCCGTACCCAACAGGGCATTTATGTTACTTTTCTTCTGTCCTTGCTGTGACCAAATATCTGGTGAAAAGAAAGTCAAGGAAGTATTATCTCGGCTGATTGTGAGCATACAGCCATCGTAGGTGGGTATGGCTGAGAGGAGAGGGAGCTCATGGCTGTGACCCACAGGCCAGGCATCACCCTGACAGTAGGCACTGGTGGCTCAGACTCCTTACTTCCTCACAGCTCAGTGGGACAGGCAGGTCAGGAAGGGGGGGTGAGCTATAATTTTAAGGCTCACCCCTCACAGGATTCACTTCCTCTTGCTATGTCCTGGCTCCCTAAGGTTTCATGACATCCCAAAATAGTACCTGAAGGTGGCATCCAAGTGTTCAAATGCATGAACACATGGAGGACATTTCCCATTCAAACCTGTGACGTGGCATTATCTAGTCGGCTTTACAAGAAGGTTGAACACACCATAGGTACAGAATGGACTCAGACAGCAGATTCAAGTGCCAAAGAGGTTCTGAACTTCCCTAGCTCAATCAGTCTCCAGCCAACCTGACAGCTCACCAAGGCACATGCTGAAGTCCAACTTGAAGACGCAGAGACATTTGGGGGCAGCTATGTGCAGTAAGAGAAAACTATACTGGGACCAGCGGCAAAGGAAGGAGGATGGGAGCAGGCTCTCACTTAGTTACATTGATCAGAGACTCCCCAAGAGACCACTGGGTACCCAAGATGAGGGTCCATGTGTACCACGGTGAGTAAGTACCAGCATGTGTAGACACAGTCTATATCATAAGGAGTGATGCTAGGAAGGGATACACCACACTAAGAGGAAAAAAATATGGATTCAGGAATCTGCGTGAATCCTTGCTCTCTCAAGCCCCAGCCATGACCTTAGGCAAGCTACTTCACACCTGTGAGCATCACGTTACTCATGGAAAAAGAGATAGCTGCCTTCAAAGTTCATCACAAAGTTTAAGATAGCTGCATTCAAAGTGCGTCAAAGTTTAAGTGATATAATGTATATCAAGTCCTGTTGTTCTAACCATAAAGAAAATGCTCACAAGATGAACCTTGAGGTTATTAGGTTAAAAGGTCCGTTCACTTTCCACAGAGACCCAAAGCCGTCAAAGACAGCAACAGTTTCCAGTTCACACACAAGTGTAGACTATCCACCAAAGGCTGTGTAATAAGGGTTTGTGTCCCTGGGAAAGTAGCAGACCCCTTAGGAGGTGGGGCTAACCTGGGCAAGGATTGTGTCTGCAATCCCAGCACTCAGAAGTCTGAGGCAGGAGGATGGTTATTAGCTCAAGGTCAGCTCTAGGTTGCATGATGAGTTCTAAACAACTGGGCTACAGAGTGAAGAGGTAGCTGCTCCTCAAAGGGTAAAATCCCACCCACTTCCATCTTTTGTGTGTTTTCCTAGTAGAAGAACTCGGAACCTGTTTTGTGAACAATTGAGCCCCAAAGAAGAGGTCAGGAGGACAAACTATTCTCTCTGCTGCTGGGAGCCTGGCTCTCCGGCTTCTTTCTCCCTGCCCTTAATAGCCCTAGAGGAAAGAATGAGGATTCTGGAGCACCCAGAGCCCGGGGCCTTCCCTGTGCTCTCATGCTGCCTTGACATGGCCCCGCTGGGGAGCTGGAACAAGGCTGAGCCTTCTCCATGGGTGCTGCAGCTGAGGCCATGTGGACCCTTGGCCGCATTGCTATACAGCTGTCACTGGCAGGGACTGGAGGGCTGCTCTGGGCACCTCAGACTCCAGAGATGTCTCCTACTGGAGAAATTGACTTGACATTAGTTGGGGCCGGAAGGAAGCAGGGAAGACCATGAAGTCAGCGTAGTGGAGATGAACAGTGATGGAGAAAGTTCCTGCCATGCCCTTCAGACTGCTGCCCTGTGCCCAGTTGCTCAGAAGGGTCAGCAAAGAAGGTTCAAGGATGGCATTGCCTGGCATGGTGGCACATGCCTTTGATCCTTGGGAGTCAGAGATAGGAGTATCTCTGTGAGCTCAAGGCCAGTCTGGTTTACATAGTGAGTTCCTGGACAGTAAGAACTACATAAAGTGACCCTATTTCAAAAAATAAAATAAAAATGACGCCCTGGAGGAACACAGCTGTGGTTTCCTCATGTCATCCACGCTAACCTAGAAAGTCGTCTCCACGGAGGCACCAACACCCTTAAGGGTTAGTGCAAATGTCCTTTCACATGTGACTAATAGTATGTAACAGTTTGACTGGCTTAAGGAATATCTATAAACTCACTGTCTTTGAGTGTGTCTGAACACTGTTTTTGAGTGTGTCTATGAAGGTGATCACAGAGGAGATTAATATGGGCAGGAACTATCCAATCAGCCATGGACTGGAGAAACAGAAATATTTGAATGTCTTTCCATCTGTCTCTAGGACGAGGGATGTACACCTTCCTTCTGCCCTTGAGAATTGCATCTCCAGGCTCTCTTTGAATTCTAGGAGCTACACCAGAGGCCCTTGCCAGAGCCCAGGTTGCCAGGCCTTTTGCTTTAGGCTGAGAATCACACCAGCGGCTTTCCTGATGCTGAAGCATTCAGAGTTGGACTGAGCCAAGCTCCAATGTTCCCGGGTCTCCAGCTTGCAGATGACCTGTCATATGACTTCTCAGTCTATACAACTGTAAGCCAATGCTGCTAAATTCCCTCCTGTATATCTGTGTGCTGTTGCTCCTGGTGCTAGAGAACACTAACACACCCGGGAATCCCTCCTTGACAACTTGTGGGAGTAGGCTTCGGTGGAAGAGTAATATACCATGTATGGTTGTCCTCTGACCAGCAGCATTGACCTTTTCTCTGTGTCTTACAGACGTAAAGCCCAGGGCCCAGGGCGGGGACACTGGGGCTTCTGAACACGGGCCCTGAACGGAGGATGGAGGAGGATGCTCACATCAACTCTCTTCCTGTGATGCAAGAAGGAAAGGTGTCCTCCCTTCCAGTGGCTCCACTTAGGAATGAACCATAGTAGGAGAGTCTCTTTAGCCCCTGAGTACAGATACTATACACCTCCAGGAGGCCATGCGATACCTGAATAGGAGACAGTCTCTGGTGTGAGTTTCCTTGAAGACAAACTCTATTTCTGCTTCTTACTAGCTCCAAACAAGTCAGACAATAGCCAAAGAAGCTACCACCGGCCCTGTGAGGATTAACAGGCTGCTACATGCTTCAGCTGTGGATGTTATTTACAGTGTTTGCTCAAATCATCTCAGGAACTATCCGGAATGCATCTGGCTATAAGAGCGTGTTGGAGATTGGTCATCTCTCCAACCCTACGTGGGCTCAGACCAGATCCAAAATGGTAGGGACGGGCCTGAGCCTGGGCCTGGGACTGGGAGTAGGGTGGAGGCTGCTATAGGCCAGTGACTAGCTAAGAAGAGGTTGGGGGGTGGGGTGGGTGAGCTGACTCCTTGTCTCCAAGTAGGAGGTTGCCTGGATCTTGGGCAGGCCTGCCCTTCTGGTTTGGGCTACTCAGCTTTTTACTGCTGTCCTCGGGGACAAGCTATTTTAGGTAGCAGTCAAAATAAAACTGAGATTAACCCAGAATTCTTGGCAGTCGAACAATACCATAATTATGTGCTTTTTAAGTTCAGAAATTAGGCAGCTGACATTGATCCACCGGGGCCTGAGGGACGCCTTGAGGATAATAAGGCCTGCATCTTGGATGTCACCTTCACACACCACAGGCAGCCGCTACAAAACCATAGCGCTCTTAGAGGTGTCATTTTGTCTCTGGGGAGTCATGTTGCCAGAACAGTTGTGACACTAACTTAGGTTCACACCACATGCTGGCCCACAGGAAGGGTGACTTACTTCTTTCTATGTCATAAGTCCCCTCTCAAAAGTCCTGCTGCCAGTGGCCGGAGGGCATTGAAAGAACAGAAGAGTCTTGTGTTCTAGGCCTGAAGGACAGGGCAGGGGTTCACTGGAGGAGCATGTCTGCACTTTGATTGCCAGTGAGGACTACAGACCCTAGAATCTAGCAAATAGGCCCCTTCCTTTTTGCTGGGCACTGGGGGCCCAGGGGGCAGGGGAAGGAATTAGACCTCTGAGAGCAAAAGCCTTTACCCAGTCTAAAGAATGGGAGACTGAAATAGATGGAGGCATTGGGATGAGGTCACTGCCTGAAGAATAAAACAGTGGCCATGAGCAGAGGCTGGGGCAGATCTCTGAGCTCCCCTGCAAGACTCCAAAATGCCTGGAGGAGGGAAAAAAGAACTGATAGAGTCTCCTTCCAGGGGCACCCAGAGATGTGCTGGGAAAAACACAACTATCTCCCAAGACCAACCTGGCCCCTGGGACAAGGTGTGTCTGGAAAATCAATGCTCTTAGCAGGAGTACAGACCTTGGCCAGGAAAGTGACCTAGCAAGAGATTAAGTTAGGAAAACACTCTTCTTATCCCCTGGCCAGCTGCCTTGTTGGCTCAGAGGCAAGCAGACACCTAGCTGATGACGGGCCTTCTTTTAAAGAAAAGCCTTCTGGGAGTGTGTACCTTGCATTCAAGGGAGCAGCATGGGAGTGGTCCTGTCTCCCTTCTCACCAGTGACAGACATGGATGCTAATTCTCTTGCTGCTGACTGTTACGGGGTGGGGAGAGGGGTTGTTTCTCTTTTAAGGCTTTAGAAACTCTTCTATTACTCCCTGCTTGGCTGAGCTGAGGTAGAGCACCTTTGTTGTGGGATAATCTTTTTTGTTTTGTTTGTTTGTTTTTTCCGAGACAGGGTTTCTGTGTATTGTTTTGGAGGCTCTCCTGGAACTCACTCTGTAGACCACGCTGGCCTCGAACTCACAGAGATCCGCCTGCCTCTGTCTCCCGAGTGCTGGTATTAAAGGCATGCACCACCAACGCCTGGCGGTATAATATTTTTTTGTACACTGTGAAGATGTGTCTCTGCTGAAGGACCTTCTGATTAGCTTAATGAAGAGCTGAACAGCCAATAGCTAGGCAGGAGAGGATGGGCAGGACTTCCCAGGAGAGAGAGGAACTCGAGGGAAGAATCTGTCACAAGGGATTCACCAGTGAGATGCAGAGGAAGTCAGACATACAGAATGGAGGAGAGGTAACAAGCCATGTGGCAGAATGTAAATTAATAGAAGCAGGTAAATTTAAGCTATAAGAGCTAGATGTGAACAAGCCTAAGCTAAGGTCAAGCTTTCATAATTAATAAGAAGTCTCTGTGTCATTATTTGGGAGCTGGCAGTCCAAAGAAAGTCTCACTACATTTGGGGTCCAATGTGGGGCACCAAATATTGTTTACCAATAAAGACTCAGGAGTCAGATGTTGGGGTGAAACCTTCCTATATCAGAAAAGCCAAAAAGCAATCAGATGACCATCTTTATTGGCCAGAGAGCCAGCTATAAAGCATCTTTCCACTTCATTCCAACCCAAAAAAAGACTGCAAATCTCTAAGTCTCTCCCTTTTCCTTCCTGCACATCTCTCTATCCATATTCCTGGCTCCTCCATACTCTTTATGATTAATTCCTGTCAACTGGTCACTGGCCCCATGCCCTGATCCAGGGTTTATTTTAATAACAGTCTCAGGGTTTCACAGTGTGATCAAATATCCCACAACAACCATCCACCTTGAGCGTGCAAACAGCACCTGCAGAGCTCAAAAAGCTGCTTTGAGTTCCTTCTAGTTCTGGAAGTAAACGTCAACATGCTTATGATCTGCTGGTAATGTGAGGCTGTGTCTACAGTAGTCTGGCTTCCCTCCTACCTCCTGGCCTGGGTACCACAGGACTCTCTTCTAAAAAGGTACTTCAGTTGGAGTTAAGAGGTGAGCCCCTTCTCTAGGATGGCCTCTGGAAGGGAAGGTGTCAGAGAAGATGATAAGGTGTAATGAAAGTTCCCCTCCAGAGTCCAGAGGTGACTCTAAATCCCATCAACCTGACAATTAATTCTAACCATCATAGATAGCGCAGTAATTTTACTATAGTCCAATTTATGCTTTTTTATTATTAGCACTGTAACACATTCTTAAGTCTTTCCCCTAAAAGTTTTAGTTTTTGCTTTCACACTTAAGTCTGTGCTCTGCACCAAGTAACACTCCGGTATGGACTAAGGGTTCCAGTTCTTCCTTGTTGGGGCAGGAGTTGCATCAATTTTTATTTGCCAACCCTTCGTCTTCTCAGAGATGCGCGACTTCGTCTTATATCAAAATTTCATGAGTAAGTCAGTCTGACGCTGAACTCTCTGTGTTACAGATTATGCTTTAGGCTTGACAGCTTCTTGGAATTCTAATTGACAATTTTTTTTGTTTTACAAATAGTATCTTTTTAAAAATGTTTTTCTTTAAACGAAGTCATTAAATTTCTAGTCAGAGATGGTATAACAGGACCATGATTTTTATGTATTGACTTTGCAACCAAGAGCCTTGTAAAACTCTTATCTTCATAGTAAATTTAAATGTTTGGTCCTTCCATTGACTTATAATTGGCTTCTTTGTTTCCTTATGTGTTTATTGATACTTAATGGTGAGCACATATAGGCTTGATCTTCATGTATAGGAATCCTATGTTCATAAAATAGAACGCTTCTATCTGCATTGATGATGCTAATACAGAACTAGTCACGTCTCTTAAGAAGGCCTTGGATGTCATGTGGTTGCCCCTCCTTGTCCCCAGCCCTTGACTTATTCTTCCAGATTGACTCTTCCTCAGATCCATTTTTGCTTTAGACAACTTGCTGTTCTGCCCTGTGCTGAATTTGGGGGATAAAAGTTTGGGAGAGAACTCAGACATTCACCATAGCAGCTATAAGTCCAGTGGCATACTTACAGTTGCGTTGTATCCAGTATATGAGATTTACTAATTGTGTAGTGTGGGAGTCCTTCATCCTGCCTGTGGCCATCACTTTCTGTCCTCTCACAGGGCAGGAAATTTTCACTGAGACTCACAGGGTCAAGACATCAACTTAAAAGCTACTACAAAAGTAATGCATGTTTTCTATATAAAAATTTGAACAAAGAAGAAATTTTAAGTTATCTACGAGGCCCATCTCCACGCTGGGATATGATCACTTTAATACTAATATTTTGGTGGGTGCTGAGTTAAACAGTGGTCCATTGACAGCTACATCTGAGGCTGGCGAGAAGGTGCAGTGTGCAAAGCACTTGCCTTGCAAGCCTGACAACCGGAGTTCAAGCCCCAGAACCCACAAGAAGGTGGAGAGATCTGAGCCCACAGTGTTACTTTCTGACCTCATGTGTGCTGTGGCATGCATATGCCTACTCCCCCACACAATAACAGTAACAACAATTTTCAAAATTGAAGCTGCATCTGCCTGGGCTCTGTCAATATAACCTTATTTGGACAAGGGTTATGGTAGTTGTAATTAAGTTGAGGACCTCCATGTGAGATCATCCAAGAGCCAGGTGAATCTGAAACCACTAACAAGTCCTTTTAAAAGAGGAAGCCATCAAGTATGGGCTGGAGTGACATCTGCCAACAAACCACCGAAAGCCTGGAACCACCAGAAGCTGGAGAAGCAGGGAAGAATTCTTCCCTAGAACCTCGGGGGGTGGTGTGGCCTTGCTGACTCCGTGATTTAGAGCTTCTGGCTTCCAGAACTGTGAGAGAATAATCTCGCTACTTTAAGTCACCCATTTGCAATCTTTTCTTACAGCAGCCCTAGGAAGGGAACATAGCTTAGTCGGCTGAGGGACAAGCTTCTAGGAAATGGTTTTGGCGTCAGAGAGATCATCCTGAAGGCGGCTTACTGGGGAGCACCCCAGAAGCAATGCCTGGAAGGCTGAGAGAAAGGTGCTGAGATGAGGGCCAGCAGGAATCGTGATGCGGCTGTCACAGAAACAGACCACAGCTCCTGCTCGGCAGTAACAGAAACAGACCACAGCTCCTGCTCGGCCAGAGCCTGGAGCTGGGATGATGATTCAAAGTCGTCTGAAGTGGAACCCAGAACTCCGCATCAGCCAGCCATCGGATGAGAACTCGGCATCAGTCAGCCATCAGGATAACTCTGCATCAGCCAGCCATCAGGATGAGAACTCCGCATCAGCCAGCAATCAGGATAACTCCGCATCAGCCAGCCATCGGATGAGAACTCCGCATCAGCCAGCCATCGGGATGAGAACTCTGCATCAGCCAGCCATTGGATGAGAAGAAACCTGAGCAGGACAATTACCTTCATGAAGGACCAAAGCCTACAGTGCCTTTCTCTATAACCCTCAGCAGGCACCACCCAGCCTTCATGGTGAAACCAAACTGGGACCACATCGGCGTATCCTAAAAAGCCCTTTGAGCACTTCTCTGCTCCTCCCTGGTGAAATGTCCAGTTTCAGCACACAATTTCTGAAATGCTTGTCCTTCACATTTACCCACAAGTGAGAAATATATTTTCAAAACATCGTTGAGTTTCGCATGCTAAATTCGCTAGAACAAACTCATTCGAAGAAAGCAGAACTATTCCATATGACTAAATTGACACGTGATTTTTTTCCAGGAAAGCTGTCTTTCTATATATACCTCTCTCGGTTCCTCCAGATGTCTGCCTGGACACCAGTTTGTTTTGGACACATGCGGTC